TATATATATATATATATATATATATATATATATATACATATATATACATATATATATATATATATATATAAGGGTTTAGGGTTTAGGGTTTAGAGTATGGTATTCCTTTTCTTCTTTGACAAGGTTACTCATTAGGGTTTAGGGTTTAGGGTTTAGGGTTTAGGGTTTAGGGTTTAGAGTATATTACCTGTATAATTAGGGTTTTGGTGTTTGGGGGTTTGCTGCTGCTGAATATTTTAATTAAAGAAGAACGCACAGCGTCTATCTCGCCGTTCCCGAGAGAGTTTAAAACCCATAAACCACTGAAACACACAAACCCTAAACCCTAAACCCTAAACCCTAAACCCTAAACCCTCATAAACCCTAAACCCTGAATTTTTGGTGCTAAGCAGAGACCTTCATTCGGTGCTTTCAAAATAGCAAATAATAAACCCTCATAAACCCTAAACCATCATAAACCCTAAACCCTCATAAACCCTAAACCCTCATAAACCCTAAACCCTCATAAACCCTAAACCCTCATAAACCCTAAACCCTCATAAACCCTAAACCCTAAATTAGGGTTTATCTGACTTGACATGTACAGCGGAGGATAGAAGCAATCTCTGTAGATCATCATCAGCAACACTAAACCCTTTTTCTTTTATTTTTGTTTTTATTTCGTTTTTAGATAAACCCCCAAAAGCAGACAACAGCTGCTGCAACTCCTTCTTTAGTTGCTGCTGCTCTGCAGCAGACACAGATCCTCCTGCTGCAGCAGCAACAGCAGCAGCAGCAGCAGCAGCAGCAACAGCAGCATAACAATAACAAAAGCACCACCAACTCTAAACCCCTACTACCTCCTAAACCCTTCTAAACCCTCATAAACCCTTCTAAACCCTCATAAACCCTCATAAACCCTCATAAACCCTCCTAAACCCTTCTAAACCCTCGTAAACCCTCCTAAACCCTCCTAAACCCTTCTAAACCCTCATAAACCCTTCTAAACCCTCATAAACCCTAAACCCTCATAAACCCTCATAAACCCTCATAAACCCTCATAAACCCTCACTCTGAGAAGATTGATGATCTCTTTGGTGCTGTATCTCTGCTACGATTTCTTTTAATTTTTTTTTCCAAAAATTTTCAAAAAAAAGAAAAAGTTTGCCGTGAGAAACAGAAAAGGAGACATCCATGGGGAGCTTTAAACGCCATAGAGATGATACACATACCGCCACCTGAAACATAAACCCTAAACCCTCGTAAACCCTAAACCCTTGTAAACCCTAATTTATGTGGTATGTATAGTAGATAGTATGTGCCGTGAGAAACAGAAAAGGAGACATCCAGAGGGAGCTTTAGACGCCATAGAGACGATACACATACTGCAACCTATAAAATAAAATACATAAACCCTAAACCCTCGTAAACCCTTGTAAACCCTAAACCCTAATTTATATGTTGGGTATAGTAGATAGTATGTGCCGTGAGAAACAGAAAAGGAGACATCCATGGGGAGTTTTAAACGCCATAGAGATGATACACATACTGCAACCTGTAAACATATAAACCCTCGTAAACCCTAAACCCTTGTAAACCCTAAACCCTAATTTATATGTTATGTATGTAATAGAGAATATGTGCTGAGAAACAGAGAAGGAGACATCCATGGGGAGTTTTAAACGCCATAGAGACGATACACATACTGCAACCTATAAAAAACATAAACCCTCGTAAACCCTAAACCCTCGTAAACCCTAAACCCTAGACCCTGATTTATATATTTTGTACAATAGATAATGTGTGCTGAGAAACAGAAAAGGAGACATCCATGGGGAGCTTTAAACGCCATAGAGATGATACACACACTGCAACCTATAAACAAATATAATAAACCCTAAACCCTCGTAAACCCTAAACCCTAATTTATATGTTGTGTATAATAGATAATATGTGCCGAGAAACAGAAAAGGAGACATCCATGGGCAGCTTTAGACGCCATAGAGATGATACACACACTGCAACCTATAAAATAAAATAAATAAATAAATAAATACATACATAAACCCTAAACCCTAAACCCTAAACCCTTGTAAACCCTAAACCCTTGTTTATAGAGAATATGTACAGAGAAAGAGACATCGAGAGGGAGCTTTAAACGCCACAGAGATGATATACATACACCCACCTAAACCCTAAACCCTAAACCCTAAACCCTAAACCCTAAACCCTAATATATTGATTCATTTATATAATAAAAAATATAAAAAACAAAAAACAATAAATAATATAAGAGAGGTTTTAAATGCCATTGAGATGATATACATACCCCCACCTAAAAAAACATAAACCCTAAACCCTAAACCCTAAACCCTAGTAAACCCTAAACCCTAAACCCTAGTAAACCCTAAACCCTAGTAAACCCTANCCCTAAACCCTAAACCCTAGTAAACCCTAAACCCTAAACCCTAGTAAACCCTAAACCCTAGTAAACCCTAGACCCTGACTTGATTAAGAAGTTTATCGGCGGTTTCTGCTGGCAGCCGTGTAGCAGCACGAAACGCTTCTTTTGAGATTCCTGATCTTTCTATTGGTTG